AGCCCAAAAGTTTCGTCGCAACATCCCCGAGTTGGCCTCCCTTCCGGCCGTTCGATGTGGACACATTCATGACCCCAACGAGTGGCGCTCGTCGGGTAATGGGCATTTCTCCACCTTCAACGAAGCGGAGTACACACCTAGTTTGGTCTTCACCCTAGCAGTATGCTGCACGGCATGGGCGGCGCGACAGGGCTACGGCATCCTCGCCATCCCAAGGTTACCGCCCATCAACACCTCAGGGGACGTACGACCACTGCTCCATTTCGAACCGTCCGAGCTGCGAGAGGATCTGATGAATGTCATGGGCTTCCACCTATGGGCCTCACACCACCACGAGAAGACTCGTCCCATGTGCCCACTCGCCAAGTCGCATTCGATGTGTTGCAACTGAGGTCACAACTCACAGACATGGACGTGTACATCGGCCCAGGGCATTTCTCCCATCGTTGGCCACTGACACAGTGGCAAAACCCCTTCCGGACAGGGGAAGGCAGCACTGCTATTGAGAGTGTCCTTCACTACGCCAGATGGATCGCCGACCAGGACCATCTGCTGGCTGACCTCCCATCCCTACATGGCAAGACGCTGGTGTGCGACTGCCCCCACAACGTGCTATGTCATGGCGATATCATTCGTGCTCTGGTTTGGACTACTTCACGTCCTACTTCGACCTCAGGCCACGGCCATCCCGCTCGGGAACAGTTGCGACGGGTTTCACTCATTGCATTCGCCCTGCCAGGGCAGTCCCGTTGCGCTTCTCTCAGGAGGTTGTGGTGGCCAGCCTCATGGCCCTTTGTCCAGATATCAGTTGGGAGGGATTCCAGTGGCCTATGCTCGAAGACCTGCTAGTGGATGACTCGCACTACCAATGGCTCAACTATATGCAGAACCGCCCGGACTGGGACGGACACGCCTTTGGTCCACGGTTGGTGGGCCCATTGGAGCGCAACGCCATTGCGATGAGCGGCCTTCAGCAGCCCGGAGCGGCTGCTGCTGCAAAAGCCTTACCGCCTATGATCCCCTTTGGCGTAGGGGAGGAGCGACATTTTGAACTCGCACTTGAGTTGCAACAGAGACCCACCCCATTTGAAACTATGGGTGTTGTCGATGATGATTTGATCTTTGCCGCATCTGGCTATGCAGCCCAGGGAGTGGGCCTGCGGGAGGTGAGGAGACGTACAGGCCGTTGGCTCCAAGAACTGAGCCGTCGAATGTGGCCCATCACATACCACCTCCAAACTTATCAGCCACCGCCCGCGCGGTCCGCCACTCAAGGGCGCCACATCGCCCTGATTGGGCTTATCATGCTGATTACTGGCTGGCCAGACACTACGTTCGTGGCTAACCTGATATATGGTTTCCCTGCCGTAGGCTTTTCCCCGCATGTGCCCGTGTACAAGGCTCAACCAGCTCACTACATCCCGGACGCCTCCATCTACCAGGACGCCCTGCCAGAGGCTGCCCGCATCATCCAAAGCCTCCGCCCAGGTGAACACGACACGGCCATTGCCCAGGCGGGTGAGGAAGACCAAGCCAAAGGCTTTTGTGGCCCCCCAATGACATGGGCCAGCTGTGCCAGGACCTCCCCCAATTCAGGCTGATCCGGAGGTTTTGTATACAACAGCCCTCGGGTAAGTTGCGAGTCATAGATGACGCTGCAGACGGAGGGCAGAGCGCACTCAGCTCAGATGCGAACAAGTTGGATCTATGTACGAGCATTCAACCTGGCCTTCATGTTCAATTGCTCTGGCAGGCAGCATCCTCGTCGATTCACGTGTTTGAGTTGTTGCAAGCTGGTATTTGGTCCGGGGGCGAAGACCTACCCAACGCCTACCGCTATGTCCCCATGAAGCCGACACATGGCAACATGGCCGTGGTGGCATACTACGACCACCACGTGGGTGGCCCCCGTTTTCGACAATACTACGGTTCTCTGTTCGGGTTACCAAACGCTGTGTGTTCGTTCAATCGATTTCCCCGGTTCTTTCAAGCTGCCTGCCGCCGCCTGGCCTATTGTATGACCAGTATGTACTTTGATGACCTGACCATCCAGGACTTCGGTATCATGGGCGGCACTGGCCAGGCATTCGTTAATGACCTGGCACGATGCCTTGGCTCACCCTTCCAAACAGAGAAACATCAGTCCTTGGCGGCTCAGTCTGATTTTCTAGGGCTGATCCATGACGTGGCTGCCTGCCACCGGGGTGATCCTGTCAAGTTCTGGGTCCGGGACCGATTGCTCACCAAGGTCACCGACATCATGGAGGAGGCCACTCAGACGCGTCGCCTCCCTCCGGGACTAGCGGCCAAGCTCTTTGGCTGCCTGGGCTTCTTGACGACGGGATGCTTCGGCAAGCTCGGCCGGTCGGGCCTCCATAGCATCAAGGACAGACAATACTCCTCGCAAGTCGTGATGACACCGGAGATTGAACAGTCCTTTGCTAGAATTCGAGCTCTACTTCAGTTGAAGCCTGAAAGAGAATTACCGCTCAATCCAGTACGGCAACACCGATACTTGGCAGCATCCGATGCAGCGCAAGATAGACCCCGCGAGGGCTCTGCGGGAGTCTTGTTCATTGACCCCCGTGGTAACCGGAGGGCCTATGTCGTCCATATCAGCCCAAAGATCTTCACGGTGTGGTCCCATCATGAGGCCAAGATTGCACAGCTTGAGCTCTTGACAGTCTACATGGGCCTGGCATATAATGCCTCATCAGTTCGCGGAATGCATGGTATATGGTTTGTTGACAATATCGCTGCCCTCATGGCTCTCATACGAGGCCGCAGCAACAACGATGAGCTGGATTCTATGGCCGGAGCCATCCATGGCCTTCTGTTTGCACTCCGTAGTGCATGCTACTTTGAATGGGTCCAGAGTAAGGACAACTGGTCAGACGGCATCAGCAGACAGGGAGAACACGACCCGTGGTTCCAACAACATGGTTTTCGTCTCTTCCACACCTACCCCCTGCTCATGCTCCTCCAGCTGCCCTACCACCTCATCGCTCAGGTCTTTCAGTTCGTTTGAGTGCTTTGGATAAGTTAGTGCCTTGGATGGAGTGCTCCCACAGGGAGAGTGTCAGATGTCAGATGACACAAGCGACGTGGGTCGCATTTCGAACCAAAGCACTTTAGTACAGACAGTACAGACCTGAATCGATTCGCAGAAAAGGGTAGTAGCAGCAGTCGACATATGTTGAGCGAGATTCATCGAATATATTCAATCATTTAAGGTAGGCAGGGTCGGTGATGATGAATTATTTGGGAAGCTTCGAATCAACGTCTCCCAATGTTTGAATGCTCAAGCCAAACTGGGGAGACGCCCCTTGAGGAGCAGTGTCGCTGCTGGTACCTCAAGCTAAACTTTTTCTCCCACCCTGCCACACCCTGTTAGTTACTTTCATGTCCACCTGGTGCTAGTCGAGCTGGTGGCTGACTTGGCTTGTTGCCGGAAGAGTCTGGTTACCTGGTGACAGTCGCTTCACCTGTGGCCTTGCTGGTGCTTGATGGCCGTATTCCGGGTTACTTTCAGTTACCACGGCTATGCTTGTGACGCTTGCAGCCTGGGCTGTCGGCCACATGAGATGGGGACTGTGCTGTCTGCCGCTGTCGTCCGGTTGTCCTTTTCCGGCTGCCCGCCGCCTAGCCATCATACCTGTTCTGTCGGTCCCAGGTATTGACGATGACTAGGGAGTTCCATTTAATCTTTTCATCGCTCTGTCCAGAGCTGGCATCCGTTGTGGCCGTAGGACCGCCCCTGCGGTATCCTCTCGGTCACTACATACGGATGGAGTGCTCCCACAGGGAGAGTGTCAGATGTCAGATGACACAAGCGACGTGGGTCGCATTTCGAACCAAAGCACTTTAGTACAGACAGTACAGACCTGAATCGATTCGCAGAAAAGGGTAGCAGCAGTCGACATATGTTGAGCGAGATTCATCGAATATATGTATAATTACACGTGATTCATGCCACAAGCCATTGTTGTAGTGGTGATGTGCATGTACTCCCACCAGACCGAGATTTTAAAACTGTTTTTGCGTCTGCATTCTGCAGGCACAGACCCATGCCAAGTACGGCTGGTGAGCAGCGACCCAGATCATGTGTCACCTTGCACCAGCTGCTGCCTACAGTTGGTATCCACCACCAAGGTCTGCTAGAGCCCAGCATGTCAGAATCGAAACAAGTTTGGTAGTCCAAGTCTTCATTCACAGATTGTTGAGATCAGCTTCCTTAAATGTGCCACTGCTGAAATGAGTTGCTGTTTTCAACGTGTCCTCCACGGATATCAGTCTGGGCACGGATATCAGGTGGTGCCAAGCAGTTGAGTTTTGAAAAGGCTTCGTCTCCAACTGGACCCCAGTTTGGAGCTGTAGAAATTGAGGTCCCAGACTTTCAAAGGAGATGATCGGGTTGGAGATGGGATCACCCAACTCCTGATCGACCCACACAGGTGTCAGCTCCCACAGAGGACTCCCGCAGCCACCGAAGCACCGACAATGGCGGATAAAAAGGGGACTCGACGCGGCAAATCCAAAGTGTCACCACGTGTTTTGAGGCACACGCCCTCATGTGCCAGAACCCTTGATGACTTCGAAGCAACATAGAGTCAGGATTCATCAGGGTGGCAGTTGAGGCTCACTAATTTGGGCCACTTAGGCCTCCATGAAGTGGCCTTTGTTCGTTGGATACGTTCAAGCTCGGTTAAGTATCCCTAGAAGTCTATGAGCCAAATCATTAATGCGAGCGCTTCTTCAAGGAAGCTCCCCAAATATCCTGCATCCAGTACCTGAAACGGTACGGATCCTGGATCCCAAACGGGTGTGGCAGGGCCCTTCAAAATCAGAGGCCCAACCATTCCTGCGGATCCATCCGGATCGCCTTACTACTAGGAGCTTTAGTAGCTATATAGGAGCTTACTCCCTTACTTAATTAAGTAGGCACCTTCTTGATGAAGTAAGGAGGCAGGGCCGCGGGCTGCAAGTATTTCTGACCCGAGGCGCCGGTGCTCGCCTCCCCACGAAAGCTGCCTCCTCGGGCAGCTGTCCCAGGGGTACGTCGTCAGCTTGCCTCCTCAGTAGAGCCGCTGCCTCTCAGGCGCCATCATCCGCCGCCCCGTTCACCCCTCTTCAACAAACACGCGGACCAGGCACGCAACAAATGAACGAATCTACATAAAAACTGAGCTACAACTGACTACCACCCAGGCAGGTGAGAGGGGTCGATTTTATTTGTTTTGGACACGCATCCGGCCAGGTCTTGCAAGCCCCATGTGCTTACTGCGGACGCTCAATGGGCCGCAGGCGTCGTGAAACGACGGTCGGCTCCTGCTTTGCTTCCGTCGGCGGCCCCGTCGCAGGTGGGCACACCTCCTCAAACGGTGCGCGTGAAGAGCCTAGCATAGCATAGCCTGGTGAACCATCGGCTTAGAAAGAATGACTGAAACCAGGGTCACTGAGTTGCTGCTAGAGTGGTGACCAAGCCCCAAACATTTAGAACACATTTGAAACTGTTTGAGGAACCGGTAAGCTTGCCGACCAGATTGTTGGTAGGAGGGTTGGACTTTGCTTATGTCGATAAGATGAGTCTCCACCTGCTGACCAGCCTATTTTGCTTAGGTGCACCCATCTCTAAGACCACCCAACGGTGCTTCGCTTGGTGTGCAGAGTGAAGTGAGTGGCTGTCCCAGACATTTGACATCAACACAGCTCAGTATCCTAGGCCCATCGAGCCCCCCCCCCGCCGTAACCAACGCATCTCAAAAACACACTATCCTATGTAGGCAACTCCGCTTAAGTCAAGATGTTGAGGAGCACAAATGGCCCACGTGTCAAAGTCTTAGGCTTGGTTGTCAACCCCATGTGCGGCACCAAGCATTTACCAGCCATGAAACGCTGAACGCTGCTCCTCCTGCACCCGAGGCCAATCCCTTTGGGACAATGGCGGATGACACCAGCCTGAACTTGCGCAGATTTCTCCGCACCTTCTAGGTAAGGTGACCAAGACCTGAGAGTTGGATGCCCGCATATGAGAGTTATGATAAACTACTCTGAGGAAGGTGCGATTGGCGCTTCTTATGCCGTTCTTCTGCTGGTGCAGACAGCAAAAGCCTGAGCCAGGCCCAGCCTATCGGCTCGGGTCCAAGCCAATGACCTATTTGCATCGTTGCACTGGTGCTCGCCTGAACTGGCTCAGACTCATGACATCTGGACAAATACTATCAAACGCTATCCTTCTGAGCCAATCCCAGCGTCTCGGCTAGTTTCAACAGTCGTTGAGTGCGATGGTGAGCGCCTGCCAATTCAGCTGGCACATGGCCGGACAATTAGAGATGCCGCTGCTTTGGGGCATGGAAAGAACGATGCACATGCTGCTGAAGGTAATGGAGTTGAACACTTGGCATACAGCACTGAGCTGCCTGCTGCCACACCTATATAGATTGTGCGAAAAAGCTCCTAGTAGCATCCTTGCTCCTAGTAGCGATGCCCTTTGCTCCTAGTAGCGTCCTAGAGTCTGCCATTTGTGCTTTTGGTTCCCGCGAACGATCCGCCGCCGCCTCCGCCGTTGGGACGTCTCCCACCCCGCGTGACCTTGACGGCCCAGTCGGCAGCCTTGTCGGCTCCATGGCGGGTTCCACAAGCTGAAGGAAGCCATGGCCGGCTGCAGCAGACACTCGGAGGCATTGAGAGGAGAGACTCGGACCGAGCTGGGGCGAGGGTCAAAATGAAGACCTGATGGCCGATGACTGGCCAAGATGGAGCGAGGATGACAGGTTGCTTATGTCATGTCCAAAAAGCTGATCAGTAAAGTCTTAAAAAGATATAAAGATGTCAAGATAAGGTGTGCAAACATGCATTAGCATGACTCATGGTGATTGAGGTGCACGGAACGGTGGCACTGTTGCAGACGGAGCGGCATCAAATCACCCAAAGGGGTGAAGTCGATCAGCGCTTCTTCAGCGCATAGAGTGCGAGCAGAGGTCTTGGCCCCTTGGCAGGTGCTAGACAATCAGAGTTTGCTGGAAAGGGATGCTAGGATATGCGAGGTGCAGTTCTAGGTGCTTCGTGTGATTTGATCAGCCCTGAGTTCAGAGCATGGCCTGGTTCCTTTGGGCCTGACCTCGCAGCTCGCACTCCGGCAGTTTCACCAGCGCGGTCAGAGATTGCCGATACTAAACAGCCTAGTTTTTTTAAAACCGTGTTGCACATCTAGTCTTTGAATGTTCAACCATGTTCAGCCCTGGTTCCGAGATTGCCATTGACTCCAGTGTGACAAAAAGGCAAGCCCGAGAACAGAATAATTGGTTGGCCAGACTGAATCTCACCCCAACGGCACAGCATGGACACCTTCCTCAGCAGCTTGGCAGGTGCCTAGCTCAGCACCACGGTGACATATACCTGGCTTGGCAAGACAAATTGCAGAAGAATCCTCGTAGTTTTGAATCGGATCAAAAGAACATGGGCAACATTGGTTGAAGCCTTGCTTGTGTGAACTTTGTTCGTAGTTACACGTTCAGAGCAGGGCAGTTTCAGTATTCCGAGAAGACCGACCAATGGGTTACAATGCGGGTGGCGTTGGAGCATGCTGAGGGTTTGTGAACACTTTCGGCATGGTACCTTTGCTCCAGGTTTGGCCTGGGGGCGAAGCACAGATGCACTGCCGACTGAGATTTCTTTTGAGGGGAACCTTTTTGGATTGAGATTCGCTATGAACCAAATGGTCCACCACAAGTTTCTTGTGAGATGTTTTGGTGGTCGCTGAGATGGTTCGCAGCATGCGCACGGTATTGGGCTGCCAGGCACTAGTGTTAGGGAACGACTTCCTCTCGTCAGCCACTGAGTACTTTCAGATCTTTTTTTCATGACAGGTCAACGAAGTTGAGATTGTATGATGCAGCATGAGCAGACACGGAGTGTCATCATGTGCACTGTGCCACTCTTCAAGAATTCTGACAGCTTCGGAGATTTAAGCAGGCAGCAGAACACACTTTGGTCAGAGCACCGTTTTGCACTTGAAGCTCAGCGCTTTCCGTTGCATGCAGGTCCTTTGCAGGGGACTCGGGCTTTGTGTGCTTCACATCAGTTGTCAGTTGTGCAAAAAAGCTCCCGATGCAATGCTAGGGTTCCACAAATTGCAACAATCGCCCAAATTCGTGAGAACAGGTGATGTGTTGTATGCCATCCCACTCATTAGAAGAACGGTGACCATTCCCGATGTTGAATTCCCAGCAGCAGTAGCAGCAGCATGGACAGTTTCAGGTAGCTGTCAGTGGTGATGCTCACCAAGCGAAGGTAGCACAGGCAAGAGCCTGCGAAAACGCTACACCGACTCATGGCAGGTTGTTACAGATGCATGGCATGTTGCACCTTCAGGGCAGTGGTCGGAAAGCGGGAGGGGAGGGGCTTTGTCAGCAATTTTGTCAATGATCTGGTGGGAGCAACACCCCAACAGAAGAAGATGAAGAATCTCACAGCCAAGCCTGTGTCTTGACAGGATCTCTTTCGTCAGGAGGCCGGTGGTTGGGCAAGCGTTGCTGGTTGATCCTTTCCAATGAGTGACTTAGGGAAAGGGAAGGAACTTAGTAATTGAATCAGTGAGAGATGTTGAGGAAGGCACCTGAGTGTTAGAAGAGCCCTCTTGAAGTCCTTGGAGCTTTTTCCTCAGGTGAGATATGAGAGATCTTTGCAGATTCGTGAAGATATCCGAGATGTGAACAAATGTATGCTCTTGAGCTGCATCTTGAATGGTGTTGACGCGCGTTTGCGATGCGCCGCGGCCGTGCAAGCCCTCGGACTGGCCACGAGCCGAATGCTTTTTGTGGGTATTCTTGTTTCATTGTTCCCAAGGCCAGCAGCCTGTCTAACTGGAGTCTTCGGTGCACATGTTTTTCCATGTCGCCTGCCTTGCCCCCAAGGATGGAAAGTGTGTGGCACTCAGCCGGCCTTGGGCGCTTCAGCATGGTTGAACCATTCAGCTGCCATGCCCGTTGGGTTAGGTTCCCGAAGCCAAGGGCGAAAGGCGCGGCCCCCCCCCCCGCAGCAGCAAGGTGCAGACGCATGTCTTGATGGGCAGCATCATCTTGGCCGTGTGCTTCAGCATGTCCATCGAGGGCTACACCGGCGTCCAGACGGAGCGAATTCTGCTGAGCGAATTCCAGACGGAGTCACGAAATCACGTCCTTGGCGTTCAACTCTTCAAACTGTTCATCTCTTTCCCCCCCGAAAAAGGGCAGCGGATGACAAGATCGAGAGAGAAACTCAAAGCTGCTCGTGGCCAGGAGCGGCTTTTGGATGCGCTTTGGTTGCTGTTCACTTCCTGGGCTGCCACGTGTGCTTCTCAGTGGCTTCTTTCGGTGATGTACCTAGTGGAATGGGTCTTGGGATGTGTTGAGAAATGGCTTTCCCTGTTGCATCATGTTTCTATGGCTTGATTCAACCCCCAAACCCACACCAATCAGTCTAGTCATTGTCGAAGCTCCCCATTGTCCTCCATGGTTGGTGGAAGGTTCACTTTCGTGGCATTGTGGTTGGCCTTGCGCTTCCAGATGAAGATCTCTGGAAGTGCTCGAGAGCGGCTGTTGCGGTTGGGCCTGAGGGCAGAGCGTGGGTAGTGGGCGAACAGTTGGCCGGCAGGACATGCGACAGAACCCGATACAACTACAACCAATTGTATTATATATCATAATATCATATCACAATATATATATATATATATATTGTATACAGTATCTAATTGCACTTTTAAGGATGATCTTCTTTCGCGTTGCTCAAGCAAAGCTGCATGGATTGGGCCCCAAAGGTGTTCACCTTTTTGATTTCGGGAGTGCAATCAAATTGGTGGGGGCTAGGGTGTCCGGCCCACTGCTTTTCGTCGGGCCCCTTCGTCATCCTTGGTTCCCTGACTCTCGGCTTCTTGGGTGGATCCGTCGCTACCGCCCTTGCTTGCCTTTGGTTCCTTGGATTTTTCTCCTCTCAGCCACTCGTGGCCTCTCCGCCCCTCGCACGCGGGGCATCCCCTCCAGATCGAGTTCGAGCCTATTTGAATGAGCAGTCGCTCTCCGCCATCACAAGGAGACGACGAGGAGCTATCTCTTTCTCTGGAGTTCCAGGGGCTTCAGATCTCAGTCCGAGGGAACGCTGACCGGGCGGCCTCATTCGTCCAGCGGCTGGCTACAGAGGGCGCTCATTCCACCTCTTCTGGTGGTTTTCCTGGTGCATATAGTGATCAGGTTCGGCATCCAGCACCTACGAGCACTTCCAGTGTGGCATCTTGGCAAGAAGTTGAGCCGGCAGCACCAACTCCCCGGAGGGAGACAAGAGCATCCATTGAGGCATCGTTTCCGGATTGCCCTCAACATCTGCGTGGTTTGGCTGCTTCTCTTTCAGCTACTTCAGAGTGGAGCCCCGATCAACGTGTTCAGAGGGCCTGGAAGGCCGGAAGTTGGGCAGCAGCAGTTCGATCAGGCCGGGTGCAAAGTCCTAACAGGACGCCGACTATCAACCTGGGGAACCGCTACTACGCTGTGGTGCAGGGCCCCAACATCAGTTCGCCCAAGGTCTACAAGACCAGCCGAGAGCTGTTCGCTGCTGTTGGCTCCTTGGAGGGCTCAGACACCATCTGCCACGGCTTCCCATCGAAAGCCGAGACTGAGGTCTACTTGGCTGCAGCTGGCTTCACTGGGGTGGCATTCCCATAGAAGCAATGGAGGAGTTTGGCACTATGACAGGGGAGGTAGTTCCCCTTCATTCAGACTTCGGCCCTGCTATGTTCCAGCCCTATGTGCTAGACTTGGAGGGCTTGGGCCTGGGGTCCAGACAGATCATACAGTGCATTGCTATGGTCGTGTTGACACGAAGAGACGGAATTCTGTTGGCACTGCCCGAATTAGCGATACCAGGCGAAGCCCTGGCTACAGGAGACACCGCCGATCCATCAGCCCTGGTGGGACCCCATTTGAAAGCAGAGCTTGGTGCTGCTATGTTGGACGAAGTTTCAATTCTGCAGGAGCCGGCCCCGCTACGGGATCGTTCCATCCCTGTCGAGTTGGTGGATTTCAGCTTGGAAGTCCTCCCATACCTGAGGCCTGTGGAGGAGGTCCAGGAGCTCATGGGTATCTTGGCCTTCGATTTTCGAGAGCCCTTGGCTGTTCCTTCGCCAGATGCTGTAGTGGCTCGGGCATTGGAGTGGGCCAGAGGAGACCTGGAGCAAGTTGGAGATCGCATTCACTTCTACTCAGCAGACGAAGTTCCTGTCACTCCAATTCATCAGGACGGCGTGGTTACGCCAGAGGAGGAGGACAATGGACCATCAACGCCTGGTCCAAAGAGGCGCACAGCAGCTCCTCGTGGTGGAAAAGGAGGCAGTCCCAGCGCGCCTTCACCTGCAAAGAAGAGGCCAACAGTCGCAGCTCTTGCGCAGTCCTTAGAGGAGATCAGTCAGACTCTGCCTTCTCTGGTGAACCAAGTTCAGAACCTGGCAGACAGAACCTCTGCAATGGAGGCCGCAACGCAGCAAGCGGGAGATCGCACATCAGCATTGAGAAAGCCCATTGGCAACTTAGCTATGGTTGGATCTGCCGATCACTCTCAGCTCAAGAGCCTGGTGAAGGAGATGCCACCTCCAAAGGCTATGACCCCTTTGAAGCCAAAGGTCACCTTCACTCAGATGGACACCAACGAGATGATAGCCGATTTGCCGGAGTCGACAAGCCCGGATTTTGCCCGAGCTATGCTGGCACAATCACAAGCTTTGACAGCCCTGGTAGCCCAGATTGCTGGCAACTCCGGGGATCCGTTCCACGACATGGGCAGTTCAAGTTCGACTCTCTCCACCAGAGGTTCAGCAGGGAGAGCCAGACTACAAGCAGAGCTGGCGGCTCACAGAGGCACCTTCTTTCTGAGTGTGCTTCAGAGTATGTCGAGGCGGATGTATCCCGCCCAATCTGCAGAAGTGGATCAGTCGGAGCTTCGAACAAGGGGTGTGACCCCCACCCAGTACCTGGAGAGGTTTGGCGGCTTTGGCAAGACTCGGGACATTGGGTTCATCATTTGGCAGGTTGCACTGTCTCAACCATATGCAGGAGGACAACCTCCCCGCTGCGAAGGATGCATTGAGCCTGTTGTTTGTTTGCCTGGAGCAGACTGCCATGGACAACGGAAAGATGGATGTTGGACTGCTCTTGGCGTTGGTGGAGGATCCGCCACACAGCTTGTTCAGCGGCCGATCTCTGGCCGTAGCTGCAAACCCTCGGCCGTTCGCGCCTACAGCCAACCAAAGGTGGGTCACTACAGCTCTTCAATACCTCAAGGAGATGGATGTCATCAACACTCGAAGAGCAGAGGTGAACAACACAAAGGCTTCTGGCAGCGACAACCAACAAAATGCTCCTGGCCCAAAGAAGAAGGGAAAGGGGCGTGGTGGTCCGAGGGCGAAAGCTTCAGCAAGTCAAAACCATCAGGAGGAGGAATGAAGAAGAAAAAGATCGCCACAGATGAGGAGGAGCTTTATGCTGAGATTGGCTTCCAAGGGTTCCTTGGTGGCTTCACTCGATGGATTTTACGTTCCAGAACCTGCTTTGGTTCTTTCTTGGCCAGAACTCTGCATGCCGTGAGATCGGGCTTCGGTCCGGCTACCGCAGTCTATCCTCTGCCGCTACCACGCGAAGGTCTTTTTGACCAGCAGAGGACCCCCAGGCTCTCAAGAGCGAAGTGGAAGAGGCTTTGTCGACGCCGCGCTTTACATGTGCTGGTCATGGCCCTGAACTTTGTCCACAACGGCTTGAGGCCCGTGTCAACATTGGCCCTGGGGAGGCGCCCTTCTCTGGCCCAGCTTGCTGTCTTCAGGAGGCTGTCGGCGCTCATAGCTGCGTGTGATCAACCTGGTGGCTCCTACCCTATGCCTCCGGGAAGATCTGGTTTCGAATTCATTGCCAGACTCATTGAGCTTGAGAAGTTTTCTCAGGCAAATCCGGCCTTCAGCCTGGGCTACGATGCTCGTGATGAGAGAGAACCTGGCCCTGGCACTAGTGTCGGAACTATTGGAGAGCAGCATCGCTTCATTGTATCTGAGGAGTTCTCACCTATGCAGCCATATCGCTCGTTGCAAGCTGGAAGATTGAAACTGTCAGGTACGGGAGGTTGGGACCTACAAGAACACCTTGACAGCTGCCTTTGGCTCCCGTTTCAGGACCCAGCAATTCTCCTGCATGGTCAACCTATTGGTGCAGCTGGGCCTACTTTCACACGAGAGAGCCGTGAGGAGAACTTCAGCTTAGCAAGAATTTGGGATGCCAGAGGCCTCCTTGCTATGTTCCCAGCAAAGCATCCTACTGGCCTGGCATGTCGGGTGTTCAACGCCCACAAGAACTCCCAGATTGATAGGCAGATTGGAGATCGCCGCTGGTTTAATGCATCAGAACGGCACCCACGAGGACCTTCGGCCTACCTACCCTCGGGTCACCTTGTGACCTCGCTCCATTGCCCCAGAGGGTACAAGCTCGTTGGATGCGCTGCAGATCGCAAAGACTTCTACCACCAGGCAAGAGTCAGCAGAGAGCGTGCGTGGACAAATGTGCTGCCCTTTGTGTTTGAGGCCAATGAGGTCAGAGAGTTTGGTGCTTGGCAGGAAATGCTAGATGCCTATGCTGGAAAGGTCTCGCGAGAGACCCATGGTGATCGCTATGGAATGGCGCCTGCCAAGCAGGTCTTTGAGAAAGACATCAAGGGCATCACTTTGGGCTTCAAGAGCCTCTTTCAGGGCGATCACCTTGGAGTTGAGTTCGCACTTGAAAGTCATTCAAACCTCTTGAAGAAGAATGGGCTTCTCTCGGACAGCGAGACGATCTTGGCTCATCATGTCTTTCCACCCGGTCCCACCTGGCAGGGGCTTGTCATCGATGACTACTTCACCATTAGCGCTGAGAAGATAGCGACCGATCCGGCTCAAGCGAAATCATCAGAGCATCTTGCCTGCGCTGAGGCCACCTACCTCCAAGAGGGCGTCTTCGGTTCAGATGACAAGACAGTCAGAGGAGAGGAGCGGTTCAAAGTGATCGGGGCCGAGGTCCTGGCTGATCAGAAGACTAGAGACTCTGGACTTGTTTCAGTTGCCTCGCCACTTTCAAAGAGAATCCCTATGATGGCACTTTCCTTACGAGCTGCCGTGCTCCCTGTCATTTCGAGGACTTTGGCGTCCCGGCTCGCTGGCAACTGGGTCTCAATTCTCATGTTCAGGAGGTGTCTATGCTGCCTGCTGTCGAGGATTTTTGCCCTTGGCACCAAGAGAGCCGATGATGCTCATGAGGTCCTGAAGCTGAGCAGAGCTGCAGCAGAGGAGCTTGTCTTGGCGAGTGTCTTTGGTCTGGTAGCTGCATCCGACATATCAGTTCCCTACAATAGCTGTGTCTATGCCACCGACGCTTCAAATGCAAAGGGAGCTGCCACATCCAAAGAAGTGGGGACTGAGATCAGTCGCATCCTTTGGCTTGGAGGAGACAAGAGAGGAGGTTACACTATGCTCGACCCACCTGCTCGCTCGATCCTGCGTGAGCTTGGCGAGGATGTCGATGACGATGGTGCGTTGCCCTTTTCTGAGCCTCAGAAGGCCATTCCCTTTGAGTTCGACTTTGTTGAGATCTTTGGTGGCTCAGGAGTCTTGTCTGAGGCGGTTGCTCGCCTAGGGCTTTCAACATGCCCACCTATTGATCTCTCCAGGAGCAAGCACCACGACATTGGCAACCACAAGCTGCTTGATTGGATTTTTCAAATGATTGCAGAGAAACGTTTCAAGAGCTTGATATGTGAGCCTCCATGCACAACCTTCCCTCCAGCTCAGCATCCAGCTTCGCGCTCTTATGCCCAACCGCTTGGGTACAACAGAAGAGATCCAAAGACTTACCTTGGCAATCTGCTGGCATTCAGGAGTTTTGCTATTCTGTGGTTTGCTTGGCGGGCTGGCACGCCATCAATGCTGGAGACACCTCACCTATCGAAGATGGCTTGGTTAGCCTTTTGGAAGTACTTAGTGAAGATTGGGTTCACAGAAGCAGTTCTCAACTCTTGTGCTGTGGGCTCTATTCACAAGAAGCCTTTCCGCCTCTTGGGTTGGGGCCTGGACATGAAGATGCTCTCAATACCCTGTCCTGGTGGCCATTCGCATGTGCGCATTGAAGGGAAGTACACCAAGGCCAGTGCGGTCTACCATGAAGGAGTTGCCAACCTCATTGCCGCCTGCTTCCACCGTGCCGTGAAGGGTCACTATTCAGAGGAGGTGCAGCATAAAAAGCCGCAGCTGGAGAGTGTTGTCATCAATGACTTGTTGGCCCAAGATGGGTGGGATACTATAGCACACTGGAGGTGGTCAAAGCCAGGACACATCAATGTTCTGGAGAGCAGAGCCTTCGTTGCGTTGGAACGTAGACTTCTCGACCAAGGAGGAGATCGTCGCTTCGTGGCACTGTTGGACAGCAGGGTGGCAAAGGGAGCTCATGCCAAGGGCCGCTCTTCGGCCTTCTCCCTACGCCCTTCGCTCCTCAGATCGTGTGCTTACCAGATTGCTGGAAACCTCCATCCATCCTACGGCTTTGCACCCACAAGACTCAACACAGCGGATGCACCTTCAAGAGATCGGGATCCGGATCCCTCCTCGCAATTCTCCATTCTTACTGCTCTCTCATCAGAGGAGATCGCTACCTTGCACTCGCACCAGTTCTCCAGGGGAACTGCCAATTGGATCAGGCTCTACCTCTTGGTGATCATTTGCCTCTGCCCTGGCGCTGCTGCCAGCTCTTCCGATCGCCTCGAAACTCATGCATTCAGTGGATTTTGCCTCTGGCTTTGTGCCTGGATTTTGGCACTGTCGTTCCTGCTCACCTTCAGCCCACCCCACCTCAGCTGTGGATTTGGACTTGATGCTGACATGCCCGTAGCCTGGACTTGTTCCTCGATTGCACTCCTGAGATCCCTTGGGCCCCCTTTTAGGGTTTTTGGGACCTCCCAATTCCATGCTGCAGCCGTTTTACTTGTAGCACCTCACGTTGCCGCAATGCCTCTGCAGCCTCTGAATAAGGAAGAAGTGCACCGAGCTCGGAGACGACAGGGAACTGTCCTTCAGGCCGATCGAGTTGTTCTGCAGGCCACGAGGACCCGGCGAGACCATTTGTTGGCTGCTTTCGATCGTTGGTTGTCAGAGCACTTGCGGACTACATTAGAGGCGTTGTTGGAGCCACGTGCCTTAGATGCCGAATACATCTCAGAGGCCCTTGTCTCCTATGGCAAAGACCTTTACAACGCTGGAAAGTCGTACAACAGGTTCTCAGAGACCATCAACGCTGTGACGGCCCGAAGACCGGTGTTGAGACGCCAAGTGGCTTCATGTTGGGACCTTGCGTTCAATTGGGTTGTTGACGAGCCCCACGAACACAACAGAGCATTGCCACAGTCGATACTTGTTGCAATCCTTGCATTGTCGTTGTTGTGGGGCTGGAGTAGGGAGGCAGCCTTGATCGGGCTCGGTTGGGCTGGAGTACTTCGCATCGGAGAGATTTTCTCCGCCAAGAGGGAGGATCTCATCTTGCCACGAGATGCCTCCCCCGGAACTTGGTTTGCTTTGCTTAAGGTGCACCTCCCGAAGACACGAGGCCGAGCAGCCAGGCATCAATGTTCTAGGATTGATCCTGAAGACATAGTTGCCCTACTTGACAGTGTTTTTGCGCGCTTGGCCCCCTCAGAACCTCTTTGGAACCGCTCACCGTCGGCGCTAAGGAAGAGGTTCGCGGTTCTGCAGACTGCATTTGGCTTTGGCGGAGAAGGTGGTAGATCGGATCTGCCCTACTCTCTGTCCAGTCTCCGCCCAGGAGGCGCCACGTACTGGTTGCAGGTTACTGAGGATGCTGAATTTGTTCGGCGCAGAGGACGATGGCTTTCAACACGTGTGCTTGAAGTGTACTTGCAGGAGACTACATTTGCAACTTACACGAAGAGGATGACTCCTGAGTCGATGAGCCGAGTGAACGAGCTCTGCAGGCATTTCAATGCCATCCTGTTGAAGGCCATCAAGATGAGGCAGGCCTTTATCCCTGAATGCGCGTGGCCCAGACTATGGTGATGCAGGAACATGTGGGGAGTGGGGGCCACAAGTCGACCAAAATGGTCTAACGATAGAGAGCCATCCAGCAGGTTTGCGGAAAAGAGGTGAGTCCTTGCACTTTTAAGGATGATCTTCTTTCGCGTTGCTCAAGCAACCCACCCAATCCCAGCCCTTGAAAGCACACAGCCTGGGCCACAAGTCGACCAAAATGGTCTAACGATAGCCATCCAGCAGGTTTGCGGAAAAGAGGTGAGTCCTTATATATTTATGCAGAATCTAGACAGAGACACCTGCTAGACCTGTTGTCTTCAACCATCAATTCATCATCTGCTTTTCCAGCGTCAGTTCATGCTACGAGAGTGCGGGTGGGTCGGACACCCAGGCGCCATCGCTTCATGGTGCCTGACGACTTAGTGGTGGGAAAGCTGGGGGCTTGGTCTATGGGACTCATGTGGGACCAGGAAGCATGCAGTTGTTCATGTTGCTTTACTATGCTTTACTGACAAAAGCTAGGGGGGTTCTTGATTGGAAACAGCTGGGAGGGCGCCCTAATGCTCGCCGGTTTTGTTGTGAATTGATAGGCCGTTTGTACGGAATGATCGGAATGAGTGCCAGGCTGCCAGACAGCACGCGTTTGTAGCTACCACTCGTCCCTTTGTTGATTTTGTTGTGCAGGATGGGAGGAGAAAACCTGGTTGACCAAATGGCAGACTTTCACAACTGGGCGCTGTTCTCAGAGTCGAAAGCTACTGTTTACTGAGTTTTCTGTATTCATTCTGTAGGTTGCCGGGATGAAAGCTGTACAGTGTATGCGTGCATGTTCATTTTCTTGGGCCCAAGTGCTCCAAAGCAGAACAGTCAGGAAGGTGTATGTATTCGGGTGCAGAGGTGCTCACCACAATGGAAGATATGACCTCCGCTCAAACCGACGAGGACACCGACACCTGGGTTCACCGGTTCGCCTCGCCCGATGTCGATGGTGTGACGTCGTGGACCCTTTGGCGGACCCGAAGCAAGGTTTGGACAAAGCTTCTTGAACTTCACAACTAGGACCTTGCCATATGTTTATATAGTGTGATGTGTTCTTTCCTCATCAGTGACTGTTCCTGGTATGTTGCAAAGGTGGCACCATGGGTTTCGCGAGGTGGTCAAATGCCCATTGACTCGACTCGAACAGGAGACATTGCGGCAGAAATGTGAACCGATCTTTCTGAGGCCGACGCACGTGGAGCGTAAGACGCGTCCGGGCCACTGCTTTTGAGCATCCCCTCCACTGTCACAGGTAGGAGAGCCGGAGCTTGGATAACTCGAAGTTCCAAAGGTGTAGCTGATGCGATGTGAGGTGGTTGATGGTGGTTGCACTCTTGTCCTTCAGGCAGGGAGGCCGGCCCTTGCGTGTACCTGCTCCATGCTCAGTGAAGGGTTGTCGGGGTGATATTTTTTCAGACCTAGCACATTCCCAACATTGAGTCTTTGTTATATGGTTGTGAACGGCATCCGTTGAGCCTTGGATGAATGGAGAAGGGTGGATGGCAGCTCGCGGCGAGGTTGAAAGCTTGGATGATGAAATCCTTGATGGTGAGTCGGGGGCCCTGGGAGAATGGCGGAGAGGGTGTCAGAGATGACTCCGCATGCCTCGCATTGCCCAAGGCCGTTGAGAAAAGGCCTCCATGCCTGGCTTCATGAGGGTGGGGAGGCGCGAGCCTCATGCATTTCCCTGGGGTTGTTAGGGCGGGCAACCAAGAGGCAAACTAAGATTTGAGCAGCCTTTTACCAGGGCTATTCGCAGAACAAGACCTTGGAAGTGCCTTACTTCCTGCTGGGTGAGACGTGCCTGCCCTCTCCTTGGTTTTTCACGGCCGTTGGATGTGTGCAAGCTCATATAAGAACGCCCAAGGCGGATGCCTTGGGTGATGCAAGCTGATGGACCTTCTTTAAAGATCCGTGTGTTTGGGCCTCAGTATTGGAAGACCTGATGCATTCTTCGACTTGGATCTGATTCCACCGGCTAAGCGGCTAAGCTTGACACCTTGCGCCACATGTTGCTCAATCCTTGCGCCCATAAAGGCTATGACCGCGTGGCTACAGGTCAAACATGTTGCCACATCGTGGGCCGTATTCCGCTGAGACCGCCGGTTCAGGTTCGGGGATGCCACGCTCTATGCGAGGGCTCCTGGTGAACATTCATGGAGGGATCTAATGGCATTGATGAATTCTATTACCGGAGTCAGAGTCTAGACATTGCACAGACACAGAGCCACGCAGTGTGTGTAATTAAGAAAATAGCCTGTGTTTGGCTAGAGGTGTGGAGCAATATACTTACTGGACACACTGCACGTGGTCCATGCTAGCATCCTTTTCCCAGGTCTCGGCGCAGTGTGTTCCAGGCACGGCATTACGCCCATGTCATCCCTTGGAGTTGCTATTCCATCTGCAGAAGCGACCGGTGAAGCAACATGAATCAACGACCCGAGAACTTGGGGATTTCAGAAGATTTTTCTGCCTTGGCGGCCGGGAAGTGCCCGTTGTTCGCTAGCGACGCCCCGGTCGAGGTGACGCCCCGGTGACCAAGAAATCTGGCTCTACGGTGGCATCTGCTCCCACCAGCCCAGTGAGTGTCGGGAAGCCTAGCTTGGGACAATCACAGCGTGTGGGTGTGTCAAAGGGCGATGCTTTAAGATGCAGCCTGCATGCGTACATCATCATAAATCATCATACATTACATCATCATTAATCAACAGAATTCACTTGTCGCCTTGACCAATCATCCAGACAAAATATTGTTTTTTGTTGTTTTGCTACGGTGGGAACCTAGGCTGCCGGAGTCCGAAAGGCCTTGCGCCTGGAGAGTAGCGTGCCCGCCTGGCCGGCCGACGAGCTGCCACTGGTGCGGGGGTTCACTTGGGTCGGTCTGGAGGTTCGGAATGGTTTTGAGCTGAAACCCTGTGAAGTTGGAGGTTGGTCCCGTGGCCCTGCCACCTTGCATATATAGTTAAGGCGCCTACTTACTGTAAGTAAGTAAGTAAGGGCAATTAGTTCGCGCCTAGCTAGGACGTCTTCAAGAGGGCGGGGGGAGCTTCCTTGAAGAAGTGCTCACACTAGTGATTTGGTTCCTAGATTCTTAGGAAACTTGAAGCAGGAGACGTATTGACATGAGTGCGGAAGAAAGTCCGAAAAGAACCCTGGAGCACTCGGTGGGAGTGGAAAAGGTGGAAGGATTGTGGACTCAGTGAGTTCAGCTGTGGATGGCGGAAGGTGAGGACGGGCTTCAATGAGAAATGGCGAGGCGTGGGCAGAGTCCAAAGTTCAAATTTGTCGTTTTGATACTAGATCATTAGCATACACCAGACTTGATAGATACCAGATCATCGTTATCTTGACAGATGCCAAGATCTTAGTGAGTACACAGCGCTTCCGTACCCAGCAGCATTCCCGCCACATTCCCCTTGATGGCCCTCAACATCACAACTGAGGGGTTCTGCATGATTCCATACATTTGTTTAGATCATTTATATAAACAACACGTTTATTGTTTTGTGTGCGTTTGTTGTTTTTAAATCTTTTTCAAAAGTCCGACAGTCCAGAGCCTAAGTGGAGAGCAGGAACATCTAGCTTTCAGGAAACGGCTGAATGTGAGTGGGAGAACGTTACGCAGACCTAAAGAATTCCGAATAACGCCACCGCGAACAAACCATGTCTCTTCTTGAGGATGCTACTGTACCGTCGCCCTCTCTCTCTCCTTCCGGAACATCCTGCACCGAAGGAACAACAAGAACAGAATAGAAGACAAAACAATGGAAATATCATCATGACTGCGATGCGGTCTGAAAAAACGAGTTTGGACCCATGGCCACTGAAGAACCTGCATTGCTCTCGGCACAGGGGAGAGCGGCTACGGCGAGTTCCGCCGCGTGGAGGGCTTCTCCATCTTCGTGGATGTGGAACGAGCCATGGTGCGGCCCAAGTCGGTTGAGTCACGCAAGTCACGAAGCAAGTCGGTTGAGTCCGGTGAACTGTTTTCTGCCAGACACGGGGGACGCACCAAAGAGTCCAGATCTTTTTAAAGCCAACGTGGCAGGAGTTGCCACTCTACAAGATCGTCCTGGCAAGCCCCAGTGAGTATGGTCTGGACTATGTTGATGTATCTTGGCAGCTGACAGAGTGTTGGGCGGCAAGGGTCGAGTCATCCTGTTTCTCTCCTTGTCATCTCCGCTTTCCATAGACCTGTGGCCCAAGGCCAAGGTAGCCCTAACAGATTGCCAATGTTTTGGAAGTATACGATTGTAAAGGGGATTGAAGGGGTATAGGTTGGTCAGGGCTTTTTACACCATGCCCGTAGAATAGGCATGGGGAATAGTTGTGCTGAGGTTGTTGTGCAGTGGAACTTCAAAACAGCTTGCGAGGCCTGTCGAGCTTTTGCCAATTTCAGGAACTGTCAACGACATGTACCCCTTGACGATGGCCATACTAATATATATATATATGTGTGTGTATAGTGTATATATATATACATACGGGTATACATATATGTCTGTATATTTATATACATAAACAAAAATAAGTGAGTGCTGGAGTGCTGAACATTGCCACTAAGGGTAGGAGATGATAAGAGATACTAGAATAGAGTGTACGCCTAGTACAGTAATTATTGGAGTCCAAAAGCAGTCATTGATTCATTGACACCTTGACAGGTCAGAGTGGTTGGTGGATTTGATTGTTTGAACAATTGTCAGCATTTTGGCAAGACAGTGCAGCACCAACACGTCCATGATGGTGGCGAATAGGCATTGACAGTGGTTCTACGACGTGGCCACGTGCATTGCAAGGAGGAGGCATTCTGCTAAGTTGTTGTATTTGAGATCCTTACAGTAGATCTTGGGAAGCTGTGACAGCTCCGCATGGAAGGAATCTAATTTCACGCATTTCAAGCCCTGTTGCCTGCTGTGTTTGATGTGCTGCGCCTCTTGGGTCGGCTGTCAGCTCAGGACTTTCCACTTGCTGAATTCAACTCCGAAGTCAAGAAGCTCCAAGCTCAGACGGAGTATATCGGAAAGCAAGGAGTTTTATTCCTGCACATGGTTGCTGGGATTTCAGGATGCTGCCTGTGAGGAGATATGCCCGCACCTTATGTTGAGTGTCTTGAGGCAACCTCAAAAATAGCACTTTCAAGATGCCATTTGATTGCTGGAAATGGCTGCGCAATGAGCACTTCATGAGACTCCTGGCCTTCAGGCAGGGAATTTCCTAGCCACAGGAACCATTTGCCTTCTCGCCACGGCCTGAATCAGCAACTGCCACTGTGCAGATGCAGATGTCCCCTCAGATGGGTGTAGTGCTCAGAGGCCTCAGCAAGCTTTTTAAGCCTGAAACAGCCCTGACAATGCGTTCTCAGACGCCACCAAGCATACAATGCAGCTAGGGTAGGTCGTTGGCATTCGGAGTTGTTGATGCATGACATGACATGTATCCGTTTTGCAGACAGACCGCACCCTGCCATGGCTGCACGAAGGTCGCTACCTTCTTGATGGTGGCTGCAAGGATGTTCCAGATGAACAGTGACAACGGGTCCTGGTGGTTTGTTGCCAAGAAACTGAACCAACAAGATGGTCATGAGTCATGAGTCATGCATTTGTGTGCCGAGCTTCATCCTAGTTTGTGATATGAGAGGTTTGTGCATCAATTTTCATATTGACACTTTTGAGCCGAGGTTTGAAGAGATACTGGCCATGGTTGCCTTGCTGCCCGGATGCGTCAGAGCCTTTGATGGGCTTCGGGGTGAGGTAAGGAAATCAAGTACTTGTGGAGTCGCCCTATGCAGGTGCTGCTGAACCTGATGCCAGTGGAAGGTGTGAACGATGTACAGGCCGATGGCAGTTGGATGGGGTACCAGGAGGCTGCAGGTTGGTTGAGGCAAGCAGTTTGGCACGTAATTGCCTGGCCAGGCCATTCATTCCATCAACAGCATTGATGTGCACGAGATTCACTCAGCTTTAACTTCTTTGCTTGCTTGGAATGCGTACGGGAAATGCATTGATTGTCCCCCCATTCTGTGTCGGTCAGAACCATGTTCCCTTAATTCTTTTTTGAATGAACGGCACCTTGTAGCGCTTGTGTGACACATGATGCTCAACAGCAGTCATAGCAGATGATGATTGCAAGCCAAGAGTCTGTTGAACCACTTGGTGAAACACCACATTTCCTTCGAAAGCGTTTGCCCTGAGGAACCAAAGCCCTCTTTCCTCCACCAGCTGAAGCGTACGATGTCATCCCAAGCTGGCAAGGCACGGTGTTGCTTATGAGATTTGAGATTCAGCCCATCTCGAAAGGACCAACTGATTTTTGGGGCATCACTGGGGCAAGTCTAGTCTATATAGTCGAGTCTAGTCTAGATGGAAGCATTTTGACTCGAGGCCACCCAAAGCAAAAACTGAGACAGATTGCAATTTCAATTACCCCAAGAGGATCCAAAAGGACTCAGTACTCACAAACCCTAAGAGAGCAGCATCATGACCGTATCTCAGCTCGTCAACTGACTGTACGTGGCAGATGTTTTTTGGATCACTTTCTTTTGTAACACCACTCTGGTCATCTATGTTAGGAGTTATTGTTCTATATAGGAACATAAATACGCACACACACACGCACATGTATATAATATATATGTGTATATGTAACCCCCTACATCCTCTTACTATATCAAGAAGGGTGTCTTTGAGGTGTGTCTTGCCACCTGAGCTCCTTTGAACTTTAGTTTTTGGGTGTGACCGCCGCAGTGTCACGGCAGGATCCCAGTGTCGGCTCAGAGGATTTGTCGGATGAGCTGGACGAGGACTGGCTGAGGGCCAGCTTTTGCAGGTTTTGAGGTCTCAAAAAGGTGCGACTTCCAACTGTGATTGTTTTGGCCTCTGGCAGTGCAGCGAAGTTCCAGGAAAACAACTATTCCTCCGAGTTAGCACAACGGCTGGTCATGGCACCCAGTACTGTACTGCAGCACTAGGCTAGTCAAAGGCCTCACCCGTCTTCAATGCGGGTCACGATTTCCTAACATGTAGTGAAATGTGTACGAAAGCCTGAGATAACTCAGATTGACCCGAAGGAGACGCACAGGAGTCTCACTTTAAGAACTTATGATGACTCCTGAGCTTCTTTTGTGCTTGCTGCTTGCTGTCTCTTTGCTTGTCACAAGGCCACGCCCTCCGCCTCCACACTCCAGCCAAGTCAGTGCCATGGTTGCTTCCACCGAACGTGTCCGTGCTTGGTTTGAGCTGGCACAGTCTTGCATGTCAGAGGATAGTTGGAAGGTGGCAACTGAGATTCCAGATGCTTCGTTGTCTCATCGAAGCTCTCCTTTGGGGGGCCATTTGGTCAAGTTTCTTCCCTGCACTTAGAGAACTTTGTTTGGTGCTGGCACTGTTGGAACAGGAGTTGCCACTTGGCCTGCCAAAGGTTTAATTTACCCCTGGCCGTAGTAATAGCACATCTGCCAAGATGATGGCAGAAGCGCAGCCAAGGTTCGAATTCAGGAATGTCTTTGTGAACAATGCTCCTGCAAATCCCTCGGATTTGCTGGTCAGGCCGGAAGTTCGAGGGCAGTATGGCCACTTAGCCAAGAATGAGGCACACATCTCGCTGCTTGAGACTCTTGTACCGGGCGAGGCCCTTTTAGAGCATACGTCCTACAAGTTCTGGTCCTTGCGGCTGACATCAGTGCTCTTTGGCAACTTTGCAGGTCCCTTCACAAACTCCTTCTTTTACAACTTGGGACCCGCCCTGACACGTGTGCGTTTGTGCCGTGAGTATCCAGGGCCTGGTGACTGCACATATGCATGCTTTCAGGCCATGGGTGGATCATGGGAGGACTTTATGATGATTTCTCGCAACGAGGGCGAGCGCGAGTTCTTTCGAATTGTATTGGTGTTTAGCACCCCCGAGGACAAGTGGGCACATTGGGCCTCACCGCTCTTCCCAACTATGACAGGGCTGGTCCAGAAAGGAGTCAAGTGGTTCATGAATCGTGTTGGCGTGCAGGAGATGCGTGCTCTAAACCAGAAGATGTATGTAGCCTTGTGCTTGAGAAATTTCCATCGTGGACCACCCATGTTTCCACATTTGTCAGAGTGTGGGAAGCCCGATGTGACCATTTCCAGTGGCGAACGCCTTGGCTTGACCTATTGGTCCCGATGGCGCAATTGCTCAGACGGCAAGTTCCACTTGGCAAAGTACTTGCGATGCTTCCTGAATTGGCTGGGCCACAATCTTCAGACGCATGAGTGCTTGGATGGCCGGCAGTTGGTGCCATACCAATGTGTGTTGCTACGCCAGGACTGGGAGAAAGTGAAGGATCTGGTCATGGACGCCTTCCGCCTCCAGAAAGCCGCCTACCGTCGGGCGAACGGTGGGACCTCAGCACCCGGCATCTTGGAAGTGGCTTCACCACACTTCATTGGACAGGCCCTTAGCCACGGGGAGTTGAACCGGAAATCGCTGCCAGAGGGCCCGCGGGGCCCCAAGATGGTGATTCGGAATACCTTCTTTGAGGTATACGAGGGTTCACCAACAGAGTGTCCTTCAATGAGGCGGAGCAAGAGTTGCTCAAACAGTGAAATGATTTTCTAATCCACCAGCTTCTGCAACCCAAATGTACAGAGCACGATGGGCTCTACAGTGATGGCCTCGCTCTTGCATTTCCCACCCGCTTGCAGCAGTCGGCCTTGGCACAGTGACCTTTGTGGAGCAGTCCGTCGTCAGTCAATGGAACTGCAAAATGAAAGTCACGCGTGTACAGCAGTCCCGACTGCCACTGCCATCCCGATGCTGCAAGTTGTGAAGACTAGCAGACAGTTTTTGAACAAAAAGGCTCCGTACGACGCCGTATTGGTTTATTGCTCAGTCAGTGTCAGTCAGTCACTCGGTCAGTTGACTCCAACCAAGGAACCATAGCAAGATATGCATACGCTGCGCGCACCAGTCTGCCCACACCAGTCTGCTTTAGTATATTCTTATATATTCGTAAGGATTCCTTCAGTGAAGCTGTTAGAGGAACTTTCCGAATGGTAGCCCGACCCCTCTGAGGCCATGGATGCTTTTCAGCTGGGTGGGGTCCCCAGTTTCCGCGGACGGCAAGGGACATAGAGAGAAGGGATTCGGTATTGACACATGGACTAGCAGGCATTCGATGCAATTTCAACTGTCGGACATGGTGGGGACCATCCGACCTGTGCAGGGCGGGGAGGTCGGAAGACAGGTCGGAAGACCATCGCACTGAAGCTCTAGTAGTAACAAGAAGCTAGTAATTACAATTCCAATTAAATTCTTATTGTTACTACTAGTAAGGCACTTGTTCCTAGTAGCTTCTTGTTACTACTAGTAAGGCACCTGTTACTAGTAGCGATGCACTTGTTCCTAGTCTCATCCAACTCCGCCACCTTCATTGCTGCGTGCGGCCTCGCTCGGCCGTCCGTCGGCCGTCCGAAGTCGAGGTGAGCGGGACGAAGAGGAAGCGAGGGAACGGGGGTGGTGAGGTCCTTCTTAAGAAGAGAAGAACAACCATTTGAGTGTGTAATGGTATGTGTTTTCATGGGGAGACCGGGAGACCGCCCAAGCATCTCGTTTAGGCATCATTAGATCAAACCCACTCTAGAATTGCCCTGTTCACTGACCTCCGGCAAGGGTTGTCCTTGACATGTTCTGACTCTTTGAAGCATAGCCTCACCGCCTTGGTGATCTTTGTTGTGCATGAATCAACTGTCACGACCTTGTGGCGACTAGCGTATGATTTCAACAGGTCGAGGACTGCAACAAGTCAAGCACGCAAGTTCATATGGCATTCTCAACCAGTGAAGGCTCGGAGTTCATATGGCCTTCTTGCAGCGATCTCAACACAAGGGCAACCAAATGCACAAGGTGCTTGGCCGACGCTGTCCCCCAAACTGATGAAAAGTATACCTCAGAGGATTCCTGACTCAACAAGAAGCTGTTCAAGAACTCGTTTGCAGGATGCTCCAATGTCTCCTACTTCAGTCCAAGCTGAGTGCCAACCTCAAAGTCAAAGAGTTCGTGAGAAGCTTTGGTCAAACGCGGCCAGAAGCATGTTGACGTGTCTCAACCAGCAAAGATGTTTATACACGCATCCTTCATTCCTGTTGGGTCTTGCTCCTTTCTAGACGGGGAGACTTTTGCATGATTTAGCAACGCTGCTGCTTCCCCCAGACGTGTGAGTCACAGCTCATAACTATTTTCCTTGGGTGATCTTCATGGGGCCCCGCGTCCATATGGACGATTGCTGCCGCTGTGTCAATCCTGCATCAGGTCTTCTTTTGCATTTGACTGCTTCTCACCTGAGTGGCCTCCTGAGTGACTCGTTGACTCGTTGACTCGTTGACCGAACAAGCTGCATCCACCAGACCTGCTTTCCAGTGACGCAGGCAGAGGGTCTCCGACTTTGCTTTGCGTTGTAGGTCAGCTCCTTGTAGAGATGTCATCAGGGCGAGCAGTGAGAAGGCCGCGCACAGCAAGATGACTCGATGTCTCTTGAGAGGGACTGGAACTCTTTGATATCGCAGCCTTGCGTTTCTCCACATGATGTCCAGCAATTGCCCAAAGAGTTCCACAGCATTTGAATCTGTGTCCCAAACACACCTCCAACCAAATGCACTCAGTGAAGTTGTCTCACTTTTTCCCACATGGAACTCCGTGAACAGTCCTCGGCAGATTGGAGCGGTGACCAGTAGCTGCCAGAGAGTGTGGCGGGTGCGCCCTCTCTTGGACCATTGGGGACCATCGGCGATTGATACGGTCCACGCGGTGGAGTGGAGGGGGTTGGGCATATGAATCCCTAGCAGTTGGCTTTAAGGCTTTAATGGTTAAACTTCATGACCCTGAGCTGCATCACTTGGGTGCAAGATGGTACATGGGTCCTGGATCAAGGTAACGAAGGCAGACCTGAAGTGCTTCAAAGAATGCAGGTTTGCAACCAATCGCATGCTATGCGATTGCATGCTATGCTACCGGGACCCCGCCAAAGCTGGAGAGTCACTGTAGGGGCAGTGAGCAAGTGAGTGGGGACCGACAAGCAGACGAGAGTGAGTCCCAACTAAGCTTTGGGAAGGGACAAGCCGGACAAGCCGGACATAGATGAGCGTAATGAACCAGATTCTTGATCCCTGACTCCGGCATGGCAATCCTTGGGTTGCGTTTGGTGCGCCCGGATGCGCACATCCACCGAGTTGGGGAGGTACCACCTGAGTCGGTGAATCCAAGGGAGTATCGGAGGAGGGTCGCGGCCTCAAGCCGGCTCAGTCATTTTGAAGCAGCGTGGTGGATCCTGCAATCCTGTGAGGTCAGTACAGGTTGCATATAGAATCATATAGATATAGATGGGTCACAGGTCCATTGCAACTATGTTGATGCCGGCTTCACGCCCCATGATTTCCATTCTGCCGAGGAATCCTCGCTGAGTGATCCGTCCAGAGCTTACAGTATATAGGATTGGTTGATGGCAAGATCTGTGGGGTGTGATGATTCTGCTTAGGCAATTGCGCGCCCCACGACGGAAAGGCCAGAATGTGTGGTGTGGGAGCTGGCAACCAGGGCTTGCTCAACTGTTGGGATGCTTTGGGACCTGCGAAAAGATAATTGAGATGTGGGGGCTCTTGTGCTTGATAGCTGCATATAGCTGTAGCCAATCATGTAATCATACATGCCGGAAAGCACCGCGCAGAACGAGTGAGCTTCAGCGCCCGGGAACCCAGCACTGCTGGTGTTCGGAACTTTCTGACCGACAGGAACATGCAGCAACCATGTGGTCCGGGCTCTGTAGAAGCGTTAGGTTTGAAAAGAATTCAATTGCCGAGAAGCCATATGCCCATGACTGTAGGGCAAACAAAGCCTCAAGAAAGAGGAGCCATAACAACATGAGGAGGCAACTTTTTCCTCGTAGCTCCAGTTTCTGACAAGGCTTCGTCATGCTTCATCCATGGTGGTTCACTGTAGGTTTCTTGCAAGAACTACCTCTATGCTCTTTGGTCAGATCTTCGACATGGCTTGGTCGACCTGGCCAATTCGATGACGAAATCGTGCAGCTCCTGATGTTATTGTTGATCTACTGCCTTCTATGTCACGTTCGCAGGCATTAACTTCCGGACGCCACCCCAGGCCAACTCCTTCCAATTAGCAGCCTTTCTTGCCAGGAACGACCACGATCTCTACAATTTTGGACGGCCACCAACTTATGGAACAGTCGATAACTGATCGTGGTTGTGTGGGTGTGCCTGTGGCGACGGCATGCACAGCAACAATTGATGACACTTTTAAAATTGTATACTTTTGGGCATTTTCTCGACCGACTCACCTCCAGCCATTGAAAGTTCACAAGTCGCTTGAACCCTCCACCCACCTCAGGCATTGCTGCACACCTTATTCATACTCTCACTTTTATCGGCTCTGGGCTGAGTGCAGCAGCTGTAGTTCGCACTACAGGGGCCTCACGAGGCCTCCGGTTCGGGGGCATTTTTCCACGGTGACGCGCTCATGAGCCCCAAATGGAGCTGTTCAGATCTTGAGATGCCAACGGAGCCTAGAGAAGTGACATGGGAAAGGTACATCAAACGGCCCAATGGGTGTTTGTCAGGTCATCGCTGCTTGAGCCTCAGCATCAGCCGATGGGACAGGTTGGAGGCTGTTTGGCCTTTGGGCATCGAACATAAAGTTACTTGAGAAGGTTTGGGGTGCAGTCTCCAGTCATCCTGTTCACCTAGGTTCGAGTCGAGCTTGGCATTCGACCTGAAGGCTTAAGTCTTGAGAGTTGCCTTCATGATGCAACTGTTGGGTTTGGGAAGCACTTGATACTTGATACTAGGATGACTGTGCAAGATGACACCAACGGTCCCATTCGCAGAAGCGAGCGAGGAGACACAATGACCTCAAGGACGATCCTCAGCCAAAGTCTCAGCCGAAACGAGAGTGCTCCAGTTCGAAAGAAATGCGTATTGAGGAGTAGATAGGAGTAGCTCGAAAGTGTTGAAAAGTAGCTTGGAGCGTTGCGGTAAGGTTGGACAGCCTTGTCAACTGTTTGGTTTGGGCCCCAAAATAGTGCTGCCGAGTGTGCGCTGATCATTGGATGGTGGGAGCTGCAAACAAGTCTGAGATTGTCCTGTATTCTGATGTTTGTTGATGTTTCTGTTTGTTGATGCTTTTTGCAGCAGAATGCACAGTATGCCGTGCGCCATTAGGCCAGCATTTTTTCAGCCAACCGCCCTGGACATGTCTGACGAGCTACTTTTTGCGGTGCGCATTGGGCGCACATTGACGGAAACCGTCAAGCTGCAGGGTTTCAGGGGAGTCTCATGGCTGTACTGGGCAACTGGCCACTTGTGCTTTCTTTGGTGAGCCAACACGGGCCGGAAACTTAATAGGGACTGTAGTTATGTGAACATGTTCGCATGACTATTGCAGGCGACAGATGGTTTGCTGCAAAAGTTTGCGTGGGCCGGCGGGCAATTCTCTCCAGCCGCAACCTTGAAGGGGTTCAGAACACCTGGAAAGCACTTTTGTTTGCGGTAAACTCTGGACAGACAGGCTCTAAAGGGCGGGGTCAGACAGAAACATTTCTTTTGCGCATGCTTAGCATGGTTCAGCTTCTATGCTCGTTTCTCCATTTTGCTTATTGGGATGAGGTCGGTTCAGCCCTGCCAGTTCCTGGGACTGCCAGAGGTGCCGTCAGCTTGTGCCAAGATGTGTCTGAGAATGGCATTACATGGGTGATGGATGGTGTGTAAGTACTATGCCTTGATCCAAAAAGTGTGCCAGGCCTCAGTCTTGTGAATGGGCAGCTGGCAATCATCAGTGATGAGGCGATGGCGACAGGGAACTTAGCCGATGGCCATAGCTTACTCATCGGAACCCTCTGAGCATGACAAGGTTCTGGTCTGTCTCCAGTTTGAAAACCGAAGGTGCAGTGGCTGGGACCTGGTATGTTCGAGGGGTAACATGCGATAAACCATGATAAACCAATTCGTAATTTATGCATGTTTGTCCACAGTTCTGATTTAGATAGACATGACATGTCCACTTTCTATTAGATAGACCTCACGTACCCCCCAATATGTGGAAGGGCGTTTGAGGTGCGGCATTTGAGCGGAAGTTGGTTGGTGCGTCGAATCTCGCGTGCGGCTGCGTGGTGCTCTTGCCAGGGCTATTTTGACACCGCTGCCCTGGATTCGCACAGGGCTAAGTGAAGAAGGACCTTGAAGCGGTTCCAGACTGTTTGGAGGTTGGGGCTGAACTCCAATTTGAGGTTGTGGGCCAATTCAACTTCTCCAAGCACGTCAAGCGGTGCCTTGGGTCGTTCCCCCAAGGTTGCGCTCGCCACCGCATGGAGAGCATGGAAGAGAAAAACATAGATGGGACAAGGCCCTCTTCTCTTACATGCGATGGGCGGTTGTAGCTCGCAACATTTCAAGTTTTGTAGGACTTGCCCACCCAGGCCTTTTCGCAGGTGCCACGAGCGGCCCCGTGGTTTCAGCGGCCTCGTTGCCGGGCTGCAGGCTTTTATTGAATCTGTTTGGTTGTGAAATTCCAGGATTCACACAACAAGCTATCCTTTCAGTTGAGCAGGTAGCTTTTCCGTTATTTTTTCTCAGCCAAGTTTTGACAAAGCAGCCACCGAGGCTCCCTTCCGGCCACCTCGCCGCGGCGGCCGCCGCGCAGGGCGCTGTGGTGCTGGCGGGCGAGGGGCTGCCAGGGCGCCCAGGGGTGCCCCACAGGTAGCAGGAAGGAACACCATGGAATACCTCACAAGACTAACATGGGACATGGGACTTACATAATAAGACTTCATAAGACCAAGAGTTTTTGGAGCATCCCCTAAGTTCGAGTGGGAATGGTATAGCTTTCGAGCCGTGCAGTCGTACACGTAAGGCACCATCTAAGAATGCTAAAGGTTTGAGCCCGCTGGGCCACCGCCTTCGCCAGCGGGTTGGCACGAACACTTGCCGTGAGGTTGCGGCTTTGCCGTTTGGCAGCCTCAGGTGGGCTGGGGTGATGGGGGATCAGTTCATCGCACTATCGCTGCATGCATGACGGTCTTCACGGTGTTCTGAATACGGTGTTGTAACGAGGTTGTATTATGTTGTGTTTGTTTTTCAGTGGACGGGCGTTTTCTGGTTGCAACTTGCAAAGCTGTTTGGGGGTGTTCTGTTTGGGGGTGTTACGTTTGGTCTTCAGACGAGATGGCTGGGTTCAGGGGCTTTAGGAGTCGAAGGCCAAAACAGAATCCTGATGCACTGTGTCACTGGGTCTTCTGCGGCCAGGAGGTGCATTAGAAGTCTTGCTGGAAATCTCGATGACGGGAGAGGCTATGAGATGCTTGATTTGCCTATTCCGAGACGCTCATTCGTGAGCCGAAGGTCTGTCGTGGTCCTTTAAGGCTCCTGATGGTTCCTGATGAAGGCATCAATCAAAGAAGTTTGGAACAAGGCTCTGAGAGCTCAAGCCAATACATCCAATACCAAGCTAGCAAACACCCAACCAAGGCAGCAGAAAGATGTGGACATCCAACTTTTAAGTGGTGGATGGGGACGGGACCACCCCACCAGAGCGGCCCCACAGGATCCAAGGAGGCAGCAACATTGGACTCCTTAAGGCTTTGAGGCTCCTCGCCTGCGATGCAGGTGACTGCCTTGCGCTTGGACAACACAGTCTTGTGGGCGGTGCAGCGTCGGCAGGCGCATGTGGTGTAGGCGGTGTAGGCGTCATGTTGGCCCTGAACATCATGATGGTTGAAGCCCCAATGCACCAGGTAAAGTGATATTTGCGGAGGTTTAGATGAGTGCGAGCCCAAACTTTCGATATGGCTAGGAATTATATGTCCCGTGTCGCCAGCATTGCACCGCTATTTCAGCCATTCATTGGCTTGCATAATGTGATGACTTATGCTCCATGTTCATTGTGCCCATTTCCATGCCCATCTGGGCAGCCCTAAAGGCTATACTATTGCAGAAACAAGCTAGCAAAGAAGCCACTAGTAACAAGAAGCTATAGAATTCAATTAGAATCTAATTAAAATTACAAGTCACGCTCGTTCTTTTTGGTGCGTCCTTTCTGGGTCGTCCAGGCCACGCCATGCCACTCCGCCGTGCCGTGTAGTTCCAGTCATCCCCCCGACCCCTCGAGTCAGCGGGCACCAATATACTGCGGCCGACTCCAGGTCATGGCGATCAGCTTGGAGTCAGGTGTGCAGTGATGCCCACACACGTTTGGCATGGCTGTAGTGCTACACTGCTGTGGGGCAGTCATATTTCCGGGTATAGTAAAAACATATATACTATTTCAATAAAGGGTTGTTATTCTGGCGGTCGTTCGCCACTGTGTTCTGCTTTCAAGGCAGTAGGGTTGCCATTCTTGCCCAAGACTTGTCGTAAGCGAGACACCTTTTGCCAGGTGAGACCTTGGCTCACTTTGACACTGATCTCCCTGCTGCAGGAGGGAGGGAGAGTAGATGAGTAGACGACCAGAATCCACATTCACATCCAATGGTCCAATGACCGATGTAGCATTCACGGCATGTAGCAATGTACCCGGTGATGATGCTGCGACCCCAGGCACGCTTCCTGTTACTTCCTCCTGAAATCTCATTCAGGATCTTTGGTGGGCCTGACTGGCAACAGCTCTCATTTAGCATGAGGCTGAGCTTCCAGGATGGCATTGGCAGACACATGATGGACAAAGCATTGAATGCATGTTTTACAATTTTTGCACTGTATACTGAATTGCTTACTTCCGGCAGCTGCACTTTAGGTGAGCGTTCTGGTGCAGGAAGGTCAGGAGCCACTCTTGGTGTGTCACTCAACGCGCTGTCAGTGATCTCAAGGATCTGATCCTTTGGGCAGTCTTGTGTGATCCCCTGCCCAGTACTACCAAAACATCTTTGCCGTTGCTGCTTTTGCTGTGTTTCTCACTGAGAGGAGTTTGCACGCTTCTTTTGTTTGGCCTCAAGGTCATGACGCCCTACCCTGCCCTACCCAGCGCAAGGGTCGAGTTGTGAGCGGGCGCTTTCTGGTGCAATCTGTGCTTAGGGCAGCCCAGCGACTTGCTACTAGATGAAACGGCAACATGTGCACTTGGCATTAGTTCGATAAACACACTAGAATCACACTAGACGCGTGTCTATGGCTACAGTGAAGGTCAACCCATTTTCACGTCTTTGGGCGAGCCACCCCCAGAGGGTGGGCCGTGACAAAGTCATGGGCCTACCCACTGGGCCACGGCAGAGGGAGGTTGGAGAGATCTGAAGCAGCTGCGAAACGTCTCGCTCCTGGGACCTAACCTTTTGCCTCTTGGAGAACGATGAGGGATGGAGTCATCAAACTCACGATGAGGAATGCTTATTCAAGCAATTTCAAGTTCAAGCATGTGTTCTTCTTCGGCTGCCCAGTCAGGGAGAAGAGAGAGAGGGGTGGGTTGAGAGAGAGGACAGCTTCACAATGAGCTTGCATGTCAGGTTTTTCTACCCTGCATGCAGCGTTTACAGCTTCAAAGAATCTGACATTTGAGCTTTGCAACCACATGTAGCCCTGCAAGTGTGCAGACATGAAAGGATTATAGGACTTGACACGGGACACGTATTTAATCCACCACAGTCAGTGTCTTCTTTGCAATGATGCCAAGGTGAACGGCAACACTGCAGTTGGTAGGAATGAGAGCAGGGCTCGTGACAAAAGGAATGAACTATCATTTTGCTGCGGAGTTGGTGCGACTTTTCATGCGGATCTCATTGCCATCCAGTGGAAGCTCGCCATGGAATGGCGAGCTTTCAGACCAAGAGACTAGCAGGTATGGGCCTGAGGAACAGCAGACTCCCTATTTGGAGTTATACATTATATGAGTCGATGAGGATGATGCCTGGGGTGACCCATTGATGCCTCCCAACTTTCTGCCAAGAGCTGGACATGAACATGCTTCTGAATGCTTCTGAATGGGCTGAGCACTCGAGGCCGCGGGCGATGCGCTTTGGCATCCCGGACGTTCTCACCTGGGGAGGCGGGGGCAGACAGCTTCGACCAAGTGATATCGGGAATAAGAGCCAGAGATACTGCACCGTTTTGGGTGATAAAACTGGGTTTTAATCGTCTTGAAATACCCTCCTCCACGTTGAAGCAACTTGACTTGCTCAACTAGCTTAACTGCATGTCATCATATGTCTCATCATCTCACGGGTCGAGGCATCCACGGAAAGGCTGGCAGCCATTTTTTCGGGGTGTGTGGGGGGTACAACGGGCAACGCCATATGGGCCATATGAGTATACATCAAGTATACATCAATACGTTAAACACGTGTAATTAGATGAAACATGATGAAACCATATGAACACCTGGTACGCAAGCAGATCCAAATTTTGGCTCGGCCAAGGTGGTCCTGGAAGAAGATGCTTGGGCTGTGGTTCTGTTGCCCGATCAGCAAGGTCTTCGCCTGACACTGAGAAACCTGGATCAACGGCACAGTAGCTGAACACCATCAATCAAACGGACTTTGACTAAACCAGGGGTCTTGAAGTGGGGCCAGTTGTGTGACAGAGTATTTTCTGCAAGGCTGTGACTATTCACTGACGTGCCTGGAGAAGTTGCTGTGGCTCAGCATTATGTCTCATTTGCTTTGATTTCTTTTTGGTTGCCGAGAGGCAGACACTTGCATGTCTTCCGAAGGATTTCGGCACCGTATGTCCAGGATCTCCAACTGAAACTGATTCAGCATGTGTGCGTTAAACAATGATATATACATATATATATATGTGTGTATATATATATAACCACCACTGTATATTGCAATCATTTCAACCCACTGGTTTGTCTTTCGGGCAAGAATATCATTTGGGTGAAGGTGAAGGATGGACCGAACAGCCAAAACGTCAAGTGAAGGCGATGCCCATCAACTGGCTTGTGCTTTGCCAGCAAGGTGGGCAGCAGGGCGTTGTTTGAAGAGAGCTTCGGAGAGTATGGGGTTTTGAACATGGTGGAAGCATTGTGTGCCACTTGCACAGGAGTTGAATGAACTCGTCATTGCAAGCGTTGTGGTGTAGGTTCACTCCAATTTACTCATGTCATGTACGATTGAATGCTGGAACTTCCCGATGGTGCACATTTCAGCTCAGGAGGATCAGAAAGCCGCAGCTGATTTGTACTACAAGGCCTTGAAAACAGATTGGGTGGTTCTTAAACTGAACTGCCTTGCTGATTCTTGTCACAGGCAGAGTTGGAAGTTGCAGTGGGTACCCAAGTTCAAAGGCTGTTGCTTTGATGCTTTGTCGTCAGAGACTGTTTACCAGTTCCTTTGGCTCCTTTGACCAGTAATTTCAACCTTATACTGTACTTGAAGCAGCCCATGCGTTGTACTGTATAGGTCGTATGATATGCGTCATTCTTCAACTGCGCTGCAAGAATTGGTTGGACCATTCCATCAGCTCGGAGCCCCTCCGACACTCATAAGACTTCCAGCCCCCCAAACCAAAATATATAGAGCTTTATCACAGCGGCGCTGCCGCACTAGCTCAGGCAGCGCGTAGCAAAGTTCCTGGAGCGAATGTTGCAGGCATGCGCTGGCACTGGGCCAGGAAGCAAATGACGATGGGGCACTATAGAAGATTTAGGCTTTTCGTCACCGGTATTTTGTTGCAATGGCTTTGTTACACCTCCTCGATGGAAGCAGCATGCAAACGTCAAGACGTGACAAGATAATGATCTCCATCATCGACCTACATTGACGAGCCGTGACGGCTCGTTGGATGGTGCAGGGACAGAGCCCATGAGCTGTTCGTCAGGAGCTGCTCCTTGGTGTTGGCCCAGCCACCTGCGACTGGCCTGGCGGGTGCCGACTGGGCGCTGCGTGTGTATGCTCCGGCTGGGTCCAGCCTGTGACGCCAAGGGCGTGCCATGGAGTAGGAAGCATGGGTGTGCACCTATTTCGATGTCCATCATATGTATGACATCGTAGCTGAGCAGAGCTGGTTTCAGTGGTTTCAGAATCTTGTAGATTGCACAAAGCCCCACCATGTCATTTAGATGGGTGTCCATATAAGGCACCAGACTTGGGGATTGTGCCATATACAGTTTCAGGAGTTTGTTGAATGCCTGGATTCCCGCCAGGTGCTCCAGCGAGGAGTGCTTCGGTTACATTGAAGAAGACAGCCTGGAAATCACGTTGGACAAAGTATGCATCCTTCAACCTTCACTTCAGGTGTACTGCAAGCATGTGTGGGGGGGGTTGAGGTGAAACCTGTGCCCATTTGACTATACTTGAGTGGAGATGACCTGGACAACGAGACTTGCGATGCACATGATCAGAAAATATTAGATTTCTCCACGCAGGCCTTTTTCAGTTACCAAAAGTTCCCGCAACCGCATACTGCTTACGCCATCTTACGCCTACATCCAAGGCAAAGAGTCGGGAGCAGCCATGGTTGGAACCTCAGTTGCACCTTCGCCGTTCGAGCCGTCAAGACGACGTGAGGTCTGCCGTATCAGGTCTCTCGTCGGATGTCAGGCATTCAGGTCCACCTCACAAGGTCTATACCACTGCCGTTTGGGGCTCGGAGTCGAGCCACCCTATTCGCGTGTTCTGCAGCAAGAATCCAAGCAGCTGCCGTGATCCAAAAGCAAGTGGCAGTGAGCATGGGCCCATCTCCACTAAGATAACCGTGATTTGAGGATCCTTGATGGCCAGGCCATCTTTGTCCTGTAGCTGCGCTGCCGTGTTTCTGTGCTTGGTCGACGTTAGCACAGCAGGCTTGTTTCTAGAAAACGGTTTTGATCTCCATCAGCCTGAGACCGCTGCAGTCATTGAGACCGAAAGGTACACATACAGTCGTACAGTGTTTCATGAGGCTGAACCTGGAAAGCCACTGGGATGTGCCAGCCTTGGCATGACCATTATGTTTGAGATCAAGCATGGGCTGGGCACACGAGTGTGAGTCAAGAAGAACACCTGACTTTCCCTCAAATGCTGGGGTACCCCACTCACTCCTCTCCCAAAACAAAAAATCCTGTCGTAGATGCACATGTTTTGGAAAGAAAGCAGGACATGCAGCATGCAGGTGTTCATGGAGACAACCAACAAAAAAGAAGGTATTTAGTTTAGTGTTCAGTCTTGGTATCAGAATACAGTCTTAGAACACAGTAGAATACAGTACGTATCTTAGCATCTTGGCATCAGAACGCAGAATACAGTCTGGTGTAGTCGAGTCTTTGTTTGGAAGATACATGATTTGATTTGTAGATCAAAAAGCATCCCATTGGCCACGTGATGGGTGGCGTGAGCGCAGGAGCTCTCCGAATCCCAGCAGTGCGACATGGAGACGAGCGCAGCACGCTGCCAGAGCGCCCAGCAGCTTCGGCTGTGCAAGCAAGTGTGAGGAACAGTTGGCGCAGTGGCTTCCCAAATTCGATGGAGTGTTTTGAAACACAACCCTCCCGTTCCACTGCAAATGCTTCGCACCAAGCGGGACGTGAGCCCCGCAAGGCTTGGACGTTTTAGCTGCAAGCTTGGGTATCTTGGACCTCGAGGAGGCCTGTCGGATTTTCCTGTAGAGTCGTGTGCCCGAAGCTGAAACACCAGAGCCTGTAGTGAACCATGTGCGAAGCTTCAGGCAGCTCCGGAGGCACGGCAGAACTTCCAGGCCGTTGCTGATTTGGGCTCCAGCCTCAGCCCCGCAGCAACCTTGGTACAATGCCCGCTCATCCATTCTAACCAACTCCTGCCCTGCATCTTTGGGTGGCGTTGGGAAAGCTGTAAAGGTGCACCGTGATCTCCAATGCTTTGTCAGTAGATTGCGGAGTGAGGGTGGTTGGCCCAATCTCGATCAACAATTGCAGCTATAACATGTTATAACTTGCCTTTCTCTAAAAAAATGGTCCATTTAGCTATTGCCTTGCGGTCTTTGCACGATGACGGAAGCTTTGCCCCTTCCAGGTGATGTCGCCAGACTGGTGGCAGCCATGGAAGTGAATGCCATGACGGTCACTGATGAGGTCCACTCAAAGGGAGATCGTTTAACTTAGTAGCTGCATTCTAGCACATTGGGCTCAGTGGGCCTTCATTTTTGGATGTTTGCCACCTACCTTCACAATTTCACAAGGCCAACCCTCGGACATTTCAACCTTGGGAGGCTGAGGTTGTCACTTTGGGAAGACTGAGCCAGGATCCTTCAGACTCCTTGAGAGAGGGAGGCTTCAAACCCCTTTGCGAGCCGCTAGCCAGGAGTTGAGGGAGATAGCCCTGGGCTTGTACATCCATGCTGCCTGGCACTTGGTCAAAGTGGAGCAGTTAAGGACCCTCGCTACCACAGGGACTTGCATGGAAGTTTCATGTAGGAAGCAGTTGGTGCCATGAGTGATGATTTTCGCCAAGGCGGTCTTCAATCACGATGAGGACCAGTCTTTACCAGCATTTTGGAAGCGTAGCTCATGTTGCTTCTGGCTGGGTGAAGGCTTATTCAGTCGACTTATTGATTCAAGAGGTCTTAATTCTTTGGAATCAATAAGGATCAAAATGTCACTTGCAACTACCACGCAATCAGTTGGTCAACGCATACACTGTTTGGAGCTGCGATCCCATGCCCAACTGCCCAGCTTGTCCGTTCCCAAGCACTCCAGAGGAACCCAATTGCATTCAGAGCTTCGTGGGGCGCCGGGTGGTGATCCGCACCATCCGGGAGGTCTTTGAGGCACCCATCTTCAGATCATTTGAAAGGAAAGAGGATCTAGGGAAGGCTGAGGAAGTGTTTTTTGTTTGTGTTCTTCTCCTTGTTCTCTCCTTCTATTTTACTGTCGTCCTCTCCACACTTTGAACTTGATGGATCTTGATGATGAACCGTCGATTCCACGTCACGTGAACTCACAGAGCTGCAGGGCGAAGAGCTTTGCCTCGCCTATGCGGAGATTGGACAGTTGAGCCGCGTGCGTAACTTGCCAGAAAAGTCAAAGGACCCAGTTGACTAGTTAACTCAGATGGCTGCACGCATGTTAAGGACGCACTTCCTCGGATTCTGCGTTCATTCCTCTAAGGTCATGGCAACCTTTGGAAGCACTTCCATTTTCGGGCATTCAAGACGCCGCAGGCCATGGCAGAAGTGTGCGGAATAGCCACAGGAAACAAAGAAGTCGGGCTGTGAGTTTTCTTTGTTATATAGCTCAATGAGTGTGTTGTTGAATTTCTTGAAGGCAGGCTAGGTGAAATGCATCCAACAACTTCAGTCAACCAGTCTGCGCCTCCACAAAGTCGACAAGGTCGAGAAGCGCGACGGCATCTTGAGCTGCGTTCTGGCAGCGCCTGCCCGAAGCCAAGGTTAAAGAAAGCTAGAATTGAAGGATCTCAATGCTTCTCCACAGATAAATTCGTTTGTTGGTAACCTTTAGGTCGCTGTGGAACAGTTATGAGTTATGGTTGCACCACGTGAATCCAGCTAGGACTGGCAGCCCGTCGAGCACGGTGTTGGCACGTGCTCCCAGCATCAGTAGTCATATTGTGGCACATGCTTTGCTGACGATCTGATTGTTGTAAAAGCTTCTATGTTTTGGGGGTGTGGGGGCAGTGTGGAACATGCCACTTCTGTACATGTTGACGGAATCAGGTTGGGATCCTGACCAAGGAGTGCTAGAGGCAGCAGACCAATGGCATGTATTTGTGGCATGCCCCATGTTGCAAAGTTGCTTCAAGTTTGCTTGCTGTGGTGTGGTTGTGCCATGTTGTGCCAGCACTTGTGAGGAGAGGGGCGTTGTAACCCAGGCAGGGAGGAACCGTTGAATGCTTTCACAGGAGGGGGCTGCTCCTGATGCCTTAGCCTTCCTCAAAGAGGCCCTGTACTGCTGACGTGACGGAGCGACACGATGCATGTCTCGGTCAAATCAAATCCTCAAACAGTTTCCCGACTTGTAGATCTCCCACTCAATCTAGCCATTAGGAAGTGAGAGTTCTGAGAGCTTCGGCCCTGAAGATGTGCAACAGTTTGTCGAAACAAACACATCGCTCGCGCCTGGGCTGTTTCCTCACCGCTTTGGGATTCTTCCTAGCCGCCATTGGGCCGCCTAGCTCAAGGTATTTGGCGATTTCCGGTGAGGTCGGCCCGCTCGATGTGATTTTTTGTGGTACCCTGTGGTGGCCTCCCTCAGGTGCATCACTGCTGGTCAGAGGTCGTGAGCTCAGTCTTTCATCCCAAACTGGTGACATAAACGGATGACACAGCGAAAGAAGCAACGAAGCAGAAGATGCAGTAATGCTGCAGAAGGTGCTTGGCCGAACATCGTGCGAAACCAAACGTGTCACAAGCTACACGATTGAGCGCAATGCAAAGATAACTGTTTGCAAAGGGTAGCAAACAGTCAAAACGTAACATGCCAAACAGAAAGCATTAAACTCTGACCATGTCTGAGAGTGGTCGTTGGTGGGGTTCAATATTACTTGACCGAGCGCTGACCTGATGTGCCTCTTTTGGTGCAAATGAGTGTAGTGACGTGCTGACAGAAGTCCTACTTACAAGGCCGCCTGATTGATCCTGATTGAAAGCTGAATAGCGGAAGCCTTTGTAGAGGAATCTCCACGGACTCCAGGTTGTCATATTCTTTAGCTTCCTGTTGCTAGTAGTAAGAATGCTCCTAGTAGCGATGCCAGGAGCCCCTAGTAGCATCCTTGCTCCTAGTAGTAAGGCCAGGAGCCCCTAGTAGCTTCTTGTTTATAAGTGGTTTTTTGATGTTTTTTGCACACTTTCCCCGCACCAGTATGGTTGCAATATTTGCTGCATGACGGTAGGGTTCCGCCTTGTAAGCGCCATGGCGCCAGCGGAGCAGGATGTAGATGCCATAGCTTTGCAAGAGGCGGGGGGCCTGCGCTTCGTGGCACAGCATTTGGACGTCGTGCGTCGTGCCATAATGAATAGGGAGGCCCCCAAGCAATGGGATTTAGATGGGTTTAGTCAAGTTTAGTCTATGTTTCTTTTTCCAGGCAGTCTTTAGGAGTCTCCTTTTGTCAATCCAAGCTTTGTTGCTTTGGCTGAAGCCGGATATGGGTTGAAAAATTGTGCTTTTCTTGGATGTGGATGGTGGGGGCACAAAATCTAGGAACCAAATGCACAGAAGCGTGAGCCATCCTCCGTAGGTGGTAGCGGCTAGCCCTTACTTTCACAATATATATGTGTATATCTAGGTATATATGAGTTTTATATAAGTGGGCGCCTAGCTAATTGCAAGAAAAGCAGATCCCGTCCTAACCTCACTAGGATGGTCTCATTTGTGCTGATGGCCGGCCTTTGACGGGTGAACTGGCGCGAAGCGCTGGAGTCTTTGGCGGTGGACCCTTGTTGGCGGCTCCTCGGATGGAAGATGAAAGAATCAAGACTTTAAGAAAAAACATGAAGGAACTTACTAGCGATGGCCTCCAACCTAATAGCACTGGCCTCCAGAGATCATGATGTAGGTTGGAGATGCTTGGGGTCAGCAGCACCACTGAAACTGGGACTTTGCGTGCATGTCTGGAGCCTTTAGCCTCAGGGAGGTTGTGTGTTGAGGGTGGTGGAGTCTTGGAGAGGTTGCGTACTTTGAGCTTGAGTTCTTCAATCACAGGTGATTGAAACCTCTGTGCACGAAAGATGACCACACATTTGGTGCAAGAGCGTTGCTGCCTTTGCCAACTAAGCGCCGAGGCTGTGCAAAAGGCGCGGCTGTTCAAGGACGCATCTTGATTGGGGGTGGTCCAGGTTGGTCGTGATTGGCCCATGATGGTGTTGGGTTTTAGGCCATGGTATGGCCATGGCTTGAGGACTCCAAGCATTTCGTGGACATGCCGCTGAAGGAGGATCCTGAGATCGTGCTGGCGGAGTTCGAACGCTTGGAGAAGAAGATAGAGAAGGACACTTCTTTGAGCAATGCAAGTTAGTGCAAGCTTTTAGATTCCTTTAGCGTCCTTTGCTGTGGGAGGTTCAATGATACTAGTAAAAGAGACGCACCCAGTTTATTTATACATCTAGTACTCTATAGTGATAGTCAGTCGAATGGAATAAGATACAACGTGTTCCTCGTCCAAGCGCATGATGTATTAGATGTTGTTCAACAAGGTGAGTTGGGGGTGATAAACCAGTTGATCTCTTCTCACTTGAAGATCTTTAAGACCCATTGGGGCCGGCCCATCCAAAAAATTCACTGCCTTGCTTAGCCCACAAGACACATGCATCAAGATGCCAGTCACATGCATCAGGAAGTTCTGAGGAGCTTCGTGGAGAAATATTTCGAAGACGTGGGCAGCGACTTGGATCCCTGGTCGCCGAGCGACTTCCAGGAGTCTCCACCGTTCCTGGCTCATGTGGAGGAGAAGCGAAAGGCCTGGGCGAAGGCCTTGAACGGCCTTTGGGCGACCTTGGGCCGAAAGAGCAAGGCACACAGCCAGCAAAGATGTAGCTCATTGCCACTGCGAAATCCCACAATTGTGCCAGGCAGGCAGGGCGCCAGGGCGAGTTACAGCTTGAAACAGGGAGTCGAGTCATTCATGGTGGACGAATTTCCAAGCAGAACCTGCAGCTGTTGTTTTTGGACGCGTGATTTTTGTTTTTTAGATCTTCTACCTCTCGGATGACATGGGAATTAGAAAACATACATGGGAACTCAAACATTCCCAAGTGGTCTACCTTACCCCCCTTGTGACAATTCCATGTCATCCGGCAAAAAAAGAGCCTAAAAGGCACAAAACAAGATAATGCAAGGTTGCATTACCAGATTGCCCAGGCAACCCAATACAAGGCTGCTCTTTAAACTAGTGGCTTGGGATTGCTGTGGAAGCCCTCTAACTCCCATGTCACATGCGAAGGAAAAGCAAACCAAGAGGTGTGCATGTGTGCATGAAAGGTGTGCATGGGTATGCATGCAAAGGTAAAAAAACCGTCATTTTTTCCTCACGGTTATGCGCCAATACGTCTTTGACGTGACATATATATACAGGACTTACTTACTCTATTCTTTATGTCACTTGATGCCTTAACTCCCATAGTTGTTTTTGCTACCACTGTCGCCAGGGGGGCGCTTTTTGGAGACCTACTACTGGGATACGTTCTGGGTGATCCGTGGGCTTCTGGTGTGCAGCATGGTGGAAACAGCCAAAGGTGTCATCGGCAACCTGCTAGAGTCTTCTTGGCATTGGCTAGCCGGTCTGATGTTCATAGATCTTTGCATGCACCATCATGCATCCCTTGCAATTTGTAGATTGTGAGATTAGTCAAGTCGCAGTCCTCAGTCCTTAAGGACTTGGTGAAGGACTTCGGGTTCATTCCCAATGGCACACGGGTTTACTACCTGGATCGCTCACAGCCGCCCCTCCTTACAGATATGGCCATGGCCATTTTCGATGTCACGGGCGACAAGGAATGGCTGTCTCAAGCGGCTCATCTTGAAGGGCACTTCGGGTTGCTATGTTAGCAGGTTGGCAACATGCATGTTTTACTGACCAGTTTGGCTTGGAGTCGTCTCAGCTCTCCCCAAAAACTACCCTTACTACCCTTGTGTGTACTGCCGATCGGCAAATTAGTACCGTGGAGTGACATTAAGACGCTGCGCAACCTGTGCATTCAGAAGCTGAATGAAATTTGTACAGCCAGAACCACTACCTCAATCGTGCTTTGTGATCTCTACTGTGCTCTTTGAGCGCCACGAGCTGGAGGTCCTACCACTGCTGATCAAAGAATACAACTTTTGGATGAGCCCGGAGTCAGGTCAGGTAGCACCATGCCCAGCATTTAGAGTCGAACAAGTTTTGAGTTTTCCGGGCTGCGGCCAGGTTGAAGCAGTACCTTCTCGGGAAAGTGTGTCGGGCCTGGGAAGGCTGATTCACGACCTGATTCAAGACCTGATTGTGCTTCTGGGTTAGAATAGGTTCCCCCCCACGCTGTGACAGATAGTCATTTTGCCTTGCACTCGATCGCGCTCATAAAGCGTCAACCAGTTTTGCGCAGTGTTGTGCTTCCCCTACCGATACAGGAATCATTGTGGATCAGTGAGGCACTTTGTATCAGAGGACGTCCATTGTCCTGAGTGGTTGGAATCACCGCTGAGGTGCAACTGGAGATCTCTGGAGAAATGAGACACTTCAATGTCTATCACTCCCAGCGAAAAGGGCCTCGCCCTGAGCCTTGGTGTGGTTTGGATCCAGGGGCCCACTCTCCTCAGCCCTGAGCACAGGATTAGAGAGGTGTAGGCCATGCACCCTCAAATGTCGGACCCTCAGGCTGTTTGCACAGCGCGGCCTCACGCGCGGTCTCACGCGGGCCCAAAAAGCAAAATTCCAGAAACCAGGACCCACAGAAACAGGCCCAAACCCCAAACCGACCGCCGCAGCGTGGGCCCGCCCAAAGAATATGTAGAGCCATTCATGTCCTCTCCAATGAGGAGTCGTACTTCGAAGACTTGGAAACGGCCCGGTCTGCCCGCCGAAGCCTCAGTTTGTGGGAAAATCAGCTTATGGATGATCTATCCCTTTCTTTGAGCCCTACCATGCCACACCCATACTCCGGTACCGACCCTTGAGATCATGGTTTAACTAATCCACTTCACGAATCCTTCCCCCCAAGAAGTCTGCCCCAAAGCTGGCAAACCTTGCAAAGAAGCAACTTCCTTGACTTAGCATATCTTCGACTTGGACTCCGCGGAGTCCCAGGTGAGTCTGGCTTGGAGCCAAAGAGCGAAGAAGTGTCGCTTGGGCGATGGAGTTCAGACCAGGTTGATGAGGAGACAATGTGACGTTGGGAGCAACATGGGTGGCAACGTGAGGAGGATCCGATTCCCTTTCGATCCAGTTTGGTCCATGGATATCCATGAATCAGATAGAAATAAGGCAGAGATGGCGGTATACTTCAGAGTCTGGGTGAGATCGGAATCCAATCGGGTCGCCCTTGGAGGCCTCGGTGTCATGGCAATGCAGGTTCCAGGGGCTGTGTGCTGGAGCGGAAAGTGGCTGGGACTTTTCCACCAGATGGATGGATGACAGCAGCTTGGCTATGAAGATCTATGAAGCATGAAATCCCCAAGAGAAATTGGGATTTCTGAGAACCTTCTCGCTTTCGTACAATTTAACACTCTAATGGCTGACCATGTTTGGTTTACCCCCCACACTTTTCCTTTCGTCTTGGAGCAAACACACACACACACACCAAAAG